GTTTTTGTCTTGGTCTTCTCAAGAACTATCAATTGAAATCTACAGATGTTTTATGTGCATATAGAGAGAAACTGCTCAGGCAGTCATATGTGAGGCCATGAGGATGAGGGCAGATGAGGACAATTTCCAAAGCTTCCTGGCATATCCGACAGCGTTTCCACAGTAACCTGGTGACCATGTTAAAACTTTGAAATGCAGCGAATGACCAGTTCCAATTAACCCGCTCTCATAATCGCCTCAAAATCATTGCAAACTTCTAGCATCTTTCCAAAACAAATTCTCCAAGACACTTTCCCAAAACATGATCTTTGCTGAGCGCAAAATCATGCAAAAAGATGCAGGAAAAAAAGTCATTCACTCTTCAAGTGACATCACTCCACAACCATGACACACTGCAGCTAAAACACAAAACAAGACAACTTAACTGGAAGAAGCTGAAATCACCACAATGAATCGATTTCTAAAAGCGATCCCACTTTTTAAGTGTTAGTATTTCTAGGCACCTACAAGCTGCTGCAGGTTGTCTGCATCTATAGCCGGCAAAAAGTGATGCAGGGAAAAAAGCTGCAACCTCACTGCAGCTGTGCCTCAGCCAATCAGAGCACTCCACACTGGCTGCCCCTGTCTGACAACGCACAGGCAGCCAATCAGAGGATAAAATACAGCCATCTTTTGGAGTTATCTCTTACTCACCCAGCAATGAGAAAATTCTGCTGACTGTTTTTCTGCCCTCTGGTTTTTTAATACTGTCATCATCAGGATCTCCCTGGTAACGCCTCCAGGGTGATTCCATGCATTTCTAACACTGTAATACACAAATCTACCTCATTCATTCATTCATCTATCAGCTTGTTGTGGTTATATCTTCTTTGCAAATGCATCTGGATATACACAGCAGGACATTTTTTTACACCCCCCCCAACAATCACTTTCTATAATCAGACTGAACTGCAGCTGCACCTCAATTTATTTCACAGATCAATATGCAGATCTCAGGAACCTACACTTTCTACAAATTACATTGAAATACAAATAGTATGCATGGATTATAACTATGTATGTTTAGGCAATAAAATATAATGAGGCGCAGACTGTCCTCTATGGGCCATTAGAGTAAATCCACAATACGGACTCAAGATATTTATATGAAGATAATTATCTGTATAGCATATTTTTGTTATATTAATAATTATAAAGTTATATTGCAAAGTTATATTTATAAGAAGTTATATTGTAATAGAAAGGCATACTGTAGTGTCAAAACTTTGGTTCACAAGTAACATCTAAACTACTAAATGCAAACCAGACAAAGCAACATATATTAAAGTACAAAAAGCTATAATATGTTTAATATAATGTTTGAAGGATATAACCCATGTCCTCTCAACAAATCATGAATTTACTTTTCATCTTTAAACTTCCTCTAATATTAGGCTGATGTGCCTCTGAATGTACACGTCACGGGTCCAAAAAAAAAAAAAAAAAAAGGTTCTCCAGAGGGACCTTGTACACCTAATCTAATTAATATGTGACGATAGAGAGATCTTAAATTATTCACCCAGCCCTCCGAACATGATGAAGGGTCTTGTTATTAATGCACTTAATTTAAATTATAAAATAAATAATACATTTATGAGAAAGAGAGAAAGAAAAAACACAAGAGGGAACACGCATGTACACTGTAAAAAATGGTATTATGAAAAAGCCATGACAACTTATGTTTGCCAAATCTCTGAACATGGATTCATGCGCAGGAGTCAAATTTGTACATGAATTTAATATCAGAGTCCTTTCCAAGAAAAAAAAAATATTCAGCAAATCTAGACATTAGACTCATGTTTGAAACATGAGACATCGCAGTGCAAAATCAAACAAGGAGACACGGGCAGGCTATACAGCGAACTAACTACCTTTAAATCGCGGAGGAATTTCAGACGAACAAGGGACACGCATGTACAGTACATTTTTAAACAGAACATAAAACCCAATATTTTTCTAAATGGAGAGGATTAGCTACTGATGTTCTATATTAGCAGGGTTTCTAGCAGACTAATGTAATGAGCCTCTGGCAATGATTTCTGATGTGGGAGGAATTGGATAGCTCTATATGTGGCAGGTTTGACGTCATTCTGCTAGAATTTTAAGCAGTTACTGTGAGAGTCTGTGCGATGAGCTTCATTCACTGTCTGTGACACAATGAAGCCGAATGGTTAAAGGATTACTGTGAACCATCAACCAGTGAAGTTAATTAGGTGTTTAAGAGCAAATGTCAGAAAATCACGAGTAGACACGCCCCTTATTGCTGATTGGCTACAAGTTTGTTTTGCTATTCGGCCCGAATCAGTTTTCTAAAGTGTTTTTGAAAAATCACATACCCTGCCTTTAAGTGAAAGCGAGCCAAGTTGCACACACTATTGTCAAAAGAAAAGACTGAATTAAAGTGAAAAAGTGTCTATACTTGGCAACAAGAACTGCTCCATGGTCTATTTAGGCATTTAACTGCTTACTGGTCTATTTAGGCATTTAAGATTCATTTAAAAACTCTTATAATTAAAAAACATTCTGCATACGCTCATTCATACAACATATAAAGACCTGTAGCTTCTTATGTTACAAACTATTTTTGAGTGTTTTTGAATAGAAAGTCTCTGAGCAGGTCCTGTACACCAGACAAGCACTGCATTTGCAAATCAAGCTCAAGTATCCACAAGTGCAATCCACCCTTGATCATTAAAGTGCCAGGAAGTTATTTTTGCCCTTCATAACTGAAGCAGCAGATGTCATTCATCACGGTGAGAGGTTGTGAATTAAGCAGTAAACTCTTTTGACCTTCATAATTAAACATGTAATAACACATTTACTGGTCTATTTAGGCAGTGCCAACTGCCAACAAATCTCAGCTAGTCCACTATAGAGGAACTTTCGGTTTTGTTCAAAGTGCTTTTGTTAGCTGTCAAACAAAGGAATTCTTGATGCGCAAAACACTGCAGCCAGGCTTTTGTCTAAGACTGCCACTATCCAAAAAAGTGTTTGACTTTAAGACAGGGGACAACGGTCCTCCAGGACTGAGTTTGGTGACCCCTGCCTTAAAACCTAGTAAAAACTTTGTAAAAAAACACACCCAGAGATGAAACTATCAGTAGTGTGGTATGCAGAACATGTCTGTCCTCTTTATAAGCCAATGAGTAAACCATCTCTGAAACCTCCCCTCAGTTTAAGTTCTGAAAGCATTAACATTATGCTACCTGTAAAAGATAAAACCCCTCACCTTCCCCCATCACAGAGAGAGAGATGGGGGAGGGGGATTTGCCGGGTGGTAAATCATAAATGACAGAAGATCTCGTGACTGGCCTACAGAAGCATTCCAGCAACATTCCAGGGGATCAGTATCCAAGATCTCATTCCCTGATTTGCAGGATGCTCCTTTCCCAACAATTATTTCAGGCTAATTGATATTAAGAAGTTGTATAACTTACTGTATTCACTGAAGAACTAAAAGTGAAACATTTCCTGTCCTCTTTCACATTCCCCAAATTTCTATTTCGTTTTAACAGATTACAATCACTCAAAGCAGGTTCCGTGAATTCTTACCACGCTGTGAATTTCCCAACAGCAACTTCTTGTTTGTGCTTATTAATTATGTTGCTGTGTATGTTCTCGAAAGACTCTTGTCTAGTTGTCTAGAAGTTTCCTTCTTCTTTGGGCAGTTACATTCTAGTCTAGATTCATATAATAAACATGATTATACTGATTATATCAATAATATATATCAATTTGATATATATTATATCAATATAATAAACAAATTATACTGAACTCTAATTAAAAAACAACATGCCTGTATATGGACATCCTTGATTCCTCAGTATTATATATATATACAGTATATATATATATATATATATATATTACTACCATTCAAAAGTTTGGGATCAGAACAATTTTTTATGTTTTTAAAGGAGTTTCTTATGCTCATGAAAGATGCATTTATTTGATCAAAAATACAGGAAAAAATGTAATATTGTTAAATATTATTATGATGTAAAATAATGTTTTTCTATTTTAATATACATTAAAATCGAATTTATTCCTGTGATCAAAGCTGAATTTTCAGCATCATTACTCCAGTCTTCAGTGTCACATGATCCTTCAGAAATCATTCTAATGTGCTGATTTATTATCAGTGCTGGAAACTGTTGTGCTGCTTAATATTTTTTTGGAACCTGTGATACTTTTCGTAAAAGTATAGCAGTTTCCAAAAAAATATTTGGCAGCACAACTGTTGCCAACATTGATAATTCTAATAATAAATCAGCATATTAGAATGATTTCTGAAGGATCATGTGTCAATTTATACTGGAAATGCAGCCTTAATAAGCATAAGAGACTTCTTTAAAAAACATTACAAGTCTTACTGATCCTAAACTTTTGAACGGTAGTGTGTATATATATATATATATATATATAATTAAAGTATAATATATATTTCTCTGATAGCCAGAAAAAAAAACACACACACACAATATATAAATTAATAAAAAATATATGTTTTATGATAAAATATATTTATCTGTCTCTGATAGCTGTTATTCAAGCTAAATAAGGATAACAGCTTTTTTCTGAAATTAAACTCAATTTGGCTCCTTAAATTTATATTTTGGGTGGACAGAAACCCACACACCTGCCCGAACATAGAAAATGCTACAGAAAATGCAATTCCTATCACGCAGTGTAAGCAATGCCAGTGTTCACCCAACAATAGAGTTCTTTTTTTGCCATACGTCTACATCAAACACACGGTAAACAACAGTTATCCTTTCTAGTCAAAATAGCAATCCTCTTCACACAGTGGAGAGAAAGGAAAGGTACAGATGTCCTTTGAGGCACTGTGTTAAGCAAATGTCACTCAAGTCATCTGGTTTAGTGAGTAACCCCCACCCACACAAGAGCTGTGAAAGTAAGGAGCCAATAGCCTAGAAGTACATAACTTTGTTCTGGGGTTTAATAAATAGTGATTTATAAACAAAATGTGTTGCATTAAGTTTTTCCTAAGTCTGTCCTCTCTATCAGCGTGATCTGACCTGTAATCACATTATAAAGACCCATTATAGTGAGGTAACTCAAACGTATTGGATAATGTTGAGATAAAGTAACTTACCATGAGTTCATGTTCAGTGCGATGGACTCCCAACTTTTTCAGTCCGATGGTCAGATCGTTGACACAGATGCCCCCGTCTCTGTTGACATCCAAGATCTGGAAAAGCACCTTGAGCCGATGCTCCTGCTCGGGTCCGCCGCACACCGGGCAGTGATGCGGGGAGTCGCAGGACTCATCATGGCGGTGCTCGGAAAGTGATGTTGCGGCGGCCAGCGTGGAGCCCATAGTCCGGTCACCACCACCTCCCGGATCCGAGCCCTGATACTCCTCCGAGCGGCACTGGCAGAAAACACCACTGAGCAACGGAGACACGAACGATCCCCGCTCATGCATGTCACTGAACTCCAGACTACTGGTTGGTAAAGCAGTTTAAACTAAAGTCTGTGAGCGTGAGCCAGCCGATCACGCGATCTGAGCGGCGCCTGTTTTCAGTCAAGATGCGTGCCAGATGTGCATTGAGATAAGTTTCCGAATACGTCTACTGAGTTATTTATTATCTTTTGAGCCTCTTTACTTCAGCAATCGGTGTGATATGTTTTGGAGTAAGCTTCAGAATTGATCCCTCATTCGCTCGCTATAGCGGCATTCAGAGCTCCGGTTCATGGTGATGAGCTGGAAGGATGTCCCAGCGTTACTCCTCCGGGGTTTCTGTATATCAAAAAAGCGCAGGCAAATCGGCGTATTCCGACATATACATCGCTTTGAATCTCGTTCCGGATATAAATCCTCGAGTTTGTGAATTTCCAATGGTAATCCGGTTTGAATTGGCGGTCTGAATGACAGCTGATGCACCGAGCATGCCGGTAGCGGAGCGGTAGGGCGGGCGGAATCTCGTGTTCGACAGGAAATGAGTAACTGGACTGAAGTGGGCGGGGCCAATGATGTCAGTGATGGACACATGCAAGTTACCAATGACTTTAATCCAAGTTGTTTTCTCGTCACGTCCCGATAATTCTGGTCCTTTCCACTCTATTATAATTCATAAAAATACTAATAATTGTAATTATCGGTAGTAGCAACTTAGCATTATACATTTATGCTTGTATGTGTGCAAGTTCCAGCTTGTGTTTGTCAGACAATTAAATAGTTAAACTCTACACGTGTACCCTACTATTAAATAAGCCAGTAGGTAAATATTGTCATATCGTTAGTACAGTTAAACCTGTTTGTCACTCACCGTCCTCTCACAGTAATCACATTCAAAAATTTACTTAGAGACATCTGCTGGGGAAATCATAGAGTGCCGTTTTCTGCTCTTCAAATTAGGATTTGATGTTCTTTAAAAGGCACTTAACCGACTTATACAAAAGCAAACTGTGATATTACAAGTAGCTTGAAAGTTAACTTCCATGCAAGTTACAGGAGTTAATTAATCCCATTGTGGGAAAGGCTGCACATTTGTTGCCTCAGTAGACCTACTGTGTAGAGTAGACAGGGCAATAATTTAGCGCTGACTCAATGACTTACACAGAGCTTGTCTGTTCCTGTCTACACCAAACTATATACTGTACTAATGAAATGATTAGTCCTGTATCTCCACAGTGAGAATTGCTTGTGTGTCTTCCCTTGTGAACTCATTAAACTGGTGTACTAAATCCCATACTTTAATATTTTGGCCATGCAGCAACGAACAATCCCTGCAATTGAGCTGAATAACAAACAAAAAAAAGCTGTCTTGTATTTTTTTCATTGTTCTGCAATAGCCAAGTTTCCTCTCAGCCTGCAGTGACCTTACAGGTTGTTATCAAGTTCCTCTCAGCGTCTATGGTGGTGGTTACAGCTCAGCATAAAGATGTTTCATTTGCACATTGAATTGCCCTTCAAAATGTTCATATCACATCTCACCTTTATACACAGAACCTCTAAAATATGGTTACAATTTAAAAAAATAATAATGATGCACCTATGAAGGTTTTTTTTTTTTTTGGTCTTAAGGAACAAATGTCATATGTCTACATTTTGGTGCATTTATTTATAATGCACATTAATGAACATCAGTATAAAAATACAAATGTGAACATGCTGCATTATAACAACATCACAAATTTACATCCCTATCAGGTAACACAAAGACATCACAACAGTAATGCAAATATAAATATATGACATTATAATTACAAGTACACCATACTCGAACAAAACATTGTGCACATAAGTTAAAAGTAACCACAAATTTGTGATTTGCCTTGAGACTCTTTTAAAGACACTGGTAAATCTTTAAAATACAAAAGTAATATAATAATAATGTGTTAGTTATGAGTTCACTACTGCTAGAATAGCCGAGTGTCTTAATATTTTTCTTTTTTGAAATTAATCTATTTTTTTAACAAACAAAAAAATGAAACACAAAACGAGCTAACTACAAAGCAAAAAAATTAATATATGATTAAAAAGTCTTTATCATTGGTTGAAGTATACTAATGATTTACATTCTATTATATTCTACTTCTGGGGCCAGTTGCATACGCTTACCTATTTTTTGGATTCAACTAATTCGGCTAATCTACATTTTTATGTAAACGAATTTAAAGTCTTAACGAAAAAAAAATAGATGACTAACTTGTAAGACTAGTCTAAAATTTTATGCAACTGGCCCCTCCCTGAACACCATGCATTACATGCATTTCGAATATGCTAGCCAGTCTCTGGCCACGAGATGGCGCTACATTCATTTTAGAACAAATCTCAAGCATCGATTCTTCTGCTTTAACATATAAGCGCGAAATCCTCCTGATTACTATCTACTTTAGTGATTCTCCTTGACAACACGAGCGTTTGTTTTCTGCCTCCGTTGAAACCGCGGTTGGTACTTATGGTGTTGATGAGTCTCCAATTCTAGTACCATAACCTACATATTAGCAAACCTTAACAACGCGTCTGCGCTCGGAATGTCACGGTTTTTGTCGGAGTTAAAGTCTGAAGTACTGTTGCGTTCTTGTGGATGTAACGGGAGTATCAAACGCTCTCGGTGAACTGCTCGGCTGTATTTAGGGAAATCCTCGCGTCCATGGAGGCGGCGCTTACCGGAGTTCACTAAAGAGCTAGACAGTTTCAGTCCAGAGCAGTCAGTCAACCTTTGACTCAACGCTAAACAGTTGATACGATTTACATCTAGTTAGTAATTCTATTGTGGGTTGCTTTCTAATTTGTTCCGTACAGTGATTTCTGTCCTGGCTGCCATATGAAAACTGTTCATCGACGTAAGTATTCAAATGTCTCTATTCAAATTTTCAGTTACGACATTGGAAATAACAGGCGACTACTTTCGATTATTAGAGAGAAAAGTCAAGATGATGGTCATTTCGCTAGATATTGTCATTAATTCTCAAAAAAACATACTACATGTTTCCTTGGTTATATGCCAGTGGAGTACCAGGGATCTTTACACCTGGATATAATAGACTTCTTCAAGCTAAACTAACTCTCCAGGGAATGTTTGCTTTTCAGTAGAGACTGTAGCCTTCTCACTTTGCCGTCCCTTTATTGGTTTTAAGGTAAGTTATGATATACTTTTTAGTGTTTACTTGGAATAGTTTCCGTCTGACCCGTGTAAGTGTTTATTTTATTTAATTGCTTGTTTAAATTTTTTTTCCCCCTGACACTCTGTGTTCCTCTGGACATCCTCAGTCTTCTCAGAGATGCTGAGCCAAAGCACATACATTGAGATTGAGAAGGACTTCCAAGCACCAGATTAAAAAACGGCCACCATCTCCCTGTCTTCATCTACCTCTGCCTTCAAACATCCAAAGTCCAGTGTCAAAAGAGTATGGCGTTTTTAATTAAAAAGAAGAAGTTCAAGTTTCAGATACACTTCACCCTGGAGGAGCTCACGGCTGTGCCGTTTGTGAATGGGATGCTCTTCTGCAAAATCAGACTGTTGGATGGTGGAGACTTTTCCAATTCTTCATCCAGGTAAGATTTGGGATTTTCTCTGACTGTATTGGGCCATGGTAATCATGGTTTCTGCCAAATAAAATAGTTGCTGGGGCAGTAAAGCTGTGGTAACATTTTCTATTAGACTCCACTTTTATAAAAATGCAAATTACTGTAAATTCTGAATTTACACTCATTTCACTAACTGTGGCAACTGGTATTATTTTGGATTAACTGTGAATAAAAAATGGTCTGATTGTTGATGGAATGATGGCATTGAAAAATGTTCTGTAGAGCTCTAGGATGGGTGGAAAGTCATTATTTGTGTATATTATTATAGATTTTGCTGTTGTCTTTGGCATAGGTTTCATTAAGAGCACTTGTTCAGACCTTCAGTTTTTGCTCAGCGCCTGTAGCACTGAACAATTTTTGAGCCCATTTAAAATGCACTTAGAAGACCACACAGGTTGCTTTAGGAGTCTCACTCACATCAAAAGTTAAAACACTCCAAAGAGAAAGGAAAACTTGAAATCGCATCATATGACCCCTTTAAGGGGTCAGGGTCAAACCACTGCCATTCTTTAAATTGTTTACCCAGGTAAAGGTTTTGCTCTTTTAATCACTGCACACAGAAGGCCTGGATTGCGCAATAATGTCCATTTTCATGATTTCTTTTGTTCGTGACTAATTCTAAACACATTTCTGCACTTGGACTGTGGTTTAAGATATTAGCACACAGATGTCAGCAGTATGGTTGTTTATAAATAGAGGCTTAAGCCCTTAGTAGGTTAGACTCACAGTTGGGCTAGTCTGATCAGTCTCAGCCCAATTAGAAGAATAAAGGTTTATTAGTAAATCTGAGTGAATCAGCAGTCGTATATGTTGACCAGCGGGTTATGATTCCAACATGTGAATTCCAAAATGACTCTTATTGTATGAATCTTGCATCTGATGTGTTCAGTGCAGTGTGTTGTCATTTTTAAAATGTTTTACTTTATCCTGGACTTTGCAGCCGAGCCATGTGAGATAGAATGATGGTCACAATTAGATATAATCTGTTTGTTTTTATTTATTAAAAACTAGGGTTTTTCTATATTTTTACCAATGTTCACACTTTTCTAATATCGATCTTCTGCAAAGCTCTCTCTCTCTCTCTCTCTCTCTTTCTATATATATATATATATATATATATGTACTTTTATTAATCGGATACATTCTATTGATCAAAACTGACAGTAGAAACATTTCTAATGGTAGAAAAGTTTTCTATTTGAACTTTCTATTTATCACAGTTTTTACAATAATATTAAGCGGTACAACTATTTTCAAATTTGATAATGAAAAGAAATGTTTCTTGAGCAGCAAATCAGCATATTAGAATGGTTTTTAAAGGATAATGTAACACTGAAAACTGGACTAATGGCTCCTGAAAATTTAGCTTTGCCATCACAGGGACAAATTACTTTTTAAAATATATTAAAATGGAAAACTGGTATTTGAAAGTGTAATCATATTTCACAGTATTTCAGTTAAAATAAATTCAGCCTTTATTTATATAAAATAAAATAAAATTACATTAAAAAATAAAATTTTTATTTTTATATAGTTAGATTTTTTTAATAATAAAATGTCACCAAATTACAGTGTTTAGTTGATTAGTTGTACAGATCATATAATCCATCTAGTCAATTTCAACATCGCTGAACTTGGAAAAACTAACACAGTTTCCTTCACAGAGAGCACAAGAAAGAGCAACTCTAGAGGCCAAAATTGTGCCAGTCTATTTGAAGTTGTCTTGTGTTGTGAAGTTGTTTTAGTGGCATATGACTTGGGGGTGGTATATTGTGTGGGCGCATTGACTTGCTAGTGGTGCCAGGCACAGAGAGTGCCCTCGTTCTGGTGCTCCGCATTCATTCGGCACAATGCCCTGTGTATCTGACATGAGGAGGTAGAAGAGGGTTATCTCAT